TTATTATTATTATTATTATTATTATTAGAGTTTCTTTTGTTGATGATCATTTAATTGATTCTTGTGACCTAAATGTGTGATTTAGGGATACCAGAGAAAGGAGAAATTAGATGCTTGTCATTCTAAGGGCTCAAAGGGTTGATGACAAAACAGTATCACTGACTTGATAACTTTAGTTTTACCAACTGACTTGACAATGTAAATTGCCATGGAAAACAGTTTCAAAGCTGATGTTTCCAACATTAGCCCTTAAAACTTTAAAGCAAATTTTATCTTTCAAATCACCACTCTCAATCCCCATGGTACTAACAAATGCTTTTATTCCACTAATTAATTCTTGTTTTTCTTGTCACTGTGTTCCCACCATTAGTGTAGTTCCATTTTCTGTATATAATGACACACATGACCCACAATTCCTCCACTCACTCAGACAAAGGGCGAATGCTCAAAATATCAGCTTTGAAACTCTTTATACAGTGGCCAATTTACATTTTATCAACTCAGTTCATAAAACGAAAATTACCTTCAGTTGTTATACTCCCCCACTGACAGAATACCACAGTTTCTTTAGAAACTTACGCCCAGAAAGGTAAATTTTTGTGCTAGAGTTTTGAGGGCTAACCATTAGCGCAGCTCCATTTTCTGTATATAAACACACGCAAAACCCACAATTTCTCCATTTGCTCTGACAAAGGGCTAATGCTCCAAACATCAGCTTTGAAACTCTCAATAAGGTGGCCCATTTATATTTAATTTATCAACTTAATTCATAAAATCCAAAATTATCTTGCTAAACTTCCCCCTGCGACACACTACCACAGTTTCTTTTATTAGAAACTTACCCCTAGTATTACTGACTAACCTTTCTAGGTTTACTCTCATCCACAGGTGTATTTTCAAGTTCAACAACAACACTCCATCCCTTGATGACTTTACCAAAGACAACATGCTTTCCATCAAGATGTGGTGTTGGTACCGTTGTAATGAAAAACTGTGAACCATTTGTATCTTTGCCAGCATTTGCCATTGATAGTAAGCCAGATTTATCATGCTGTAATGAGATGAACAACACAAAAAAGGCTTTAAGAGATTCCTTGATTGTTTTTAAAGGAAAACAACCTGAAAGTAGTCTCAGAAAATTTCTGGAAATCTTGGGGATTAAAGCAAAAACTTTTAAGTGCAATGTTCAGTGCTATGTAAGATTTTGCAGATTTTTTGCAGATGAAGCCAAATTTTAGCAGTACCCCACTTACATACCCTGATCGAAGCCCTAACCCATTGGAAAAGAGGTTAACTCAAGGGTGTTTCAGCTTGGGCTTGCACCTTAACCCATTAATGGCCGCAGCTTTTGTGGAAAACTGTGTTTTGAAGCTAGTCGAGCAGATTTCGGGTCACTGTTGTGGTTTTAAAAGCTCAAACTTACCAAAAACC